AATTGGCGCTATACAAATAAAATTAAATTGAATTGAATTGAATTGTTCAGGGTGACAGAGAGAATCATGAGGAATACCACAGGTTTGATCCCTGCAACAGCAACCACAATCAAAAGTGTCCTTACACTCTTCTGTGCATTTTGAGTTCAAAATTTTAAAAAGATAGACATATGACACGTATTCCTAGTCACATGGGGAAAAGCTGACATACATCAAATGACATACTTTTCCAAAATTGACATCTCATCATATCTTAAATTAAGTGCAAATTGTGTTTAGTACTAAGTAAATGTTAGTTCTCACCACTGATCATGTTCTACACTGATTCTTTATGAGTAGTATGAAACCAACTTTTCTACCTCTCTTTCCTTTCGTTCTGCTTGTTGTCTCAAATGGCCATGTTTCTACAGCAGCCCGTAACAGACAAACCAAACACCTGCTGGCGATACGGCCTTTTGCATTTTTTGCATGCCACTGTGCTTTCCCCTACACAATTTGAAGGCTGAGCAGTATTTAAATAGTTGTTATTTGCAACTACACCGCTAGATGCGACTAAATCCGAAACACTGGTCCTTTAAGGAAGCATTTCGATTTACATGAAAAGCAAAAGCTGGGTGAAGCTGCCTAATCTTACATGGAGCCGTCCTCCACATGATAAACTTTGGTAATGCAATGTCTTTAAAAGGAAAAAAGGAATTTTGTGGCCAATTCAATATAATCAATATAATATCAATACTGTTAGTATTCAATTTAAGGATGGCGCCATTTAACCATCTTTTCTGTTACATTTAAAAAGGCCATCTGGGTTCTTTGTTAGAGGGTCTTCACTGAGATGACAGACACTTCTGAGCCATCAAACAACACAGGCTTCATCATGATATTAAAGACAACAGTGTCATGCTGTATGCACCATCCTCTTCTATCATAATCTTTGATGTTTTATGGCAGAGCTGTTGCTCTCCCTTAGGTAACATTCCCAGCTGGTTTTCCTGTGGCAACGTTTATGTCTACTCTTTTTTATTTATTTATGAAAATTAACTACTCTGACGTTTAATTTGCCTTTTTGGAGATGCATTTTTTTACCGATCGATCTATGCTTTTGAGTGAAGTACTATAAGAAGCATCTATCAAAAAGTAAAGACTTTGATAATGTGCCGTTTGTTTATGGAAGGTCAATTTACACAGTTTTGCAGGCAGGCCATAGCAGCTTTTTTCTGTTTAAGTAAATGGAGAATGTTAGGGCAGTATAACTACAATAAGAAGAATGAGGTGAAATTTGATCTTAGACAGATGTTTCAATGTTAACTTGAAACTAGTGATACTCATAAAAGTGTGGAAAAGGCAAATCAAGTCCAATTATTTACTCTTTTTCAAATCTTCACTGCAGCACCTTATACAACAATTATTACCTGAGACGAAGAATCTTTTTAAATGACAAATTTGGAGAAAAAGTATTTACAGTTAAGCCCTCAGCGACATCCATATTCCTGTCAGAGAACAGAGGGATTGAAGTTTTTAATTAATCCGCTAGCATCCCCGAGGAAACATGCACACTCTCTTCTACACACCGACACCCCCGCCCAGGCACTCACCCACACAATGCAGACAGTAGCAGGAGCATTTAGGCATGACAGGCGGAGAGTGGCAGAGCGACATATCAACCTTTGCATAAACGTCTCTCTGAGACACTTTGTCAAACTAAAAGTGTCTGAAGAGGGGGATGGAGCTTCTGTGCCCATCACAAAGTACTACACAGTGAAGGAATGGTCCTTCACTGTGTAGTACTTTGATCTCCATCATCCTAAACACCAGCTGCCCTTCTCATGCACCAGTGACTTGATAAAAAGCACGAGATTATCAGTACACATAATACTGCAGCTTTTGAGCATGTCTTCATGTCAGCGCTGCTACAGATTGCTACAGCGTGCATCTGTCTCAGCAGAGTGTGGTTATTGTCATAGAACTGCAGATTTACTCAACTTCTCTTCTTTCACATCTTTGTTTAGCTTCTGTTTCTTCATTTATACTGTATGTGTGAGTCTCCCTGTAAATGTGTTCTTGATATTGTATATAAGTATACCAGAGTAAACTTCCTTCTAGTGTCATGAAACTTGACCAATGACGTTGATTTGGATTCTAATCCTGGCGATGTTTTGTAAACCGACAGAGACAGAGACAGAAATTGAGAGCTGAATGAAAAAATATTTTTCTATTTAAAAGTTAAACAAAAGTCAAATAAAATGCAAATCAGTGTGTTTCCATCAACTGCCATGATGTGAATATACTCAACGTGTCTTAACAAGATTACACTTTGGTCCATTGTGGTATTTCATTGCTGCCTCTCATGACATCATTTGCATGCTTTAATGTAAAAAGGGTTATCTGCCAGGCACTACATAGGGATATTGATTTCATGTATTAGCGTCCTAGAGCATTGGCTCTCAACCATTTTGATATCAAGGACGCCCAGATTTATACACATCAGGCTGCAGACCCATATTTGATAAGATGTGGTCTCAGGGATCCCCGTCTGATAAGATTCAGTTATTCCAACTGTCTTTATTGTAGATTAACAGTGAAGAGTGTGAAACTAGAACACAATGGTCATTCTTATGCATTCTCTCATTGGACTGTTTAATGTTTTTAGCTTTTAGTTGATACAATAATAGTAAAATTAAATTATTACCCAATTTTTTGGGGGACTTCCTTGCAGCATGATATGGGAAGCGTTGTTTACTGTAAGAGAGGTAATAATAGGTACATAATTGTTAATTCAAATATTCCATTAGCCTTTATCGTGTCTTCTCTTAATCGATAACTTTTTCACCTCAGATAAATGTTAAACCGTTTTGCACTTTTAAATCTTTTTTTTATATTTTCTGACATTTCCACTCAAATGTTTAACGCTTAAACTGAAAATATGCATTAAAACAGGTGGATGGAAATGCTCCTAGTGAAATTGAGAGAGAAAAAGGCAGGGAGAGTGTGGTGCCCCTCAGGTTTTAGTCAGAACACACAATTCAGCATGATTCAACCTCACACCACTATTGATGTAATCCTCCCTTGAGCATGACTCGCAGCAGAAAATGTGTGTGTTTTCCAGTGAGAGTGCAGATCTGTGTTTGCTTCTTTGGTCAGCTGTGCATGGAATAAGAGGTGCACACATATATGCGGTGATGTATGTTTTTGTATGTGTGTGTATATTTATTTGTCACTGAGAAATGCTCATGCCTTTGCAGTCTAGCAAAAGAATCTATTAGTATGACAGTGTCTGTGTCAGTATGTGTGCACACTCTAGGCGCATATGTACACTAAAATTGAAATAATGCAGTGTTTTGCAAAATAATGACCAAATTCATTCACAAAGGCATAGCAAGTTAACTTTTTAGCAGGCCGGCATGCAAAATGAAATATTGGCCTCGCACTATCACAGCCTGCAATAAGCTGTTTTTGGTTATAAAACTAATGTAGCAGTCACAGACATTGACTGCCCTCTAAAATGGAAATTCATAAGCCAAAATGGCACAGTGGGAATATCAAAATATGACATACTGTATCCTCTACTTCTTCTATCCCCCCCCTACCCCACACACACATTTCTCACTGTCTCTTGCTCCCTCCCCATTCCATCCCTCCCTTGCTTCTTTTTTCAACAGAGAGCACATCTGCTGTAGAAATTCTTCTGAAGGACATGTCAACCCTCCCTGACACAGCTGACTAAGCAGACAGACAGACAGCCAGACCAGTGGTCTGACACCTCCCCCAGATGGTCCCAAAGGAACCACAGTCTATAACTGGCTTAATCTGATACCAAGGAAGCCAGGTACCAAGTGTGAACAGATCAACAGATCCAAGGCAAACTGATATTACATGTCTCATATCTCAAGCCCACGCATCTTTGGAGCGGACATGTTAAACTCCTGATCTATTACACTTTTATTTTTATAAACTACCAGACCACCTGAATAATTTGGTGTTGGTCTAGTTCAGATGTGGTCTGCTTCATCTACACCAACTGCATGAGTCAACCTGAAAATGTAGTTTTCTGGGTATAAACAGACAGATGATATCTGATAACCAGCAGTTCTTCATGCTTGGAAAGTCCTGCTTTAACAAAATGAACCTAGAGCAAACAACAATGTGCACTCAAATTCAGCTATTTCTACATGTGTTGTATACTAGTCAGCCAAATAACAGACATTCTGAAAAAAGCACACAGACAGTACATTTGGTATGGCTCTCTGAGGCAACAAGGACTAGGATCAACTGTTATGTAACCTTATAAAATTACAAATCAGCAACCAGCTTTTTGAGAAATGGGTACAATAATTGTGCTTTTGTACAAAATGACAAAACTATCTATCTACACTTGTCCATAGCAAAGAAAACCAACTGCAGGTGAATGGCACAGTACAAGTTCAACTGCTGACACTGTTCACAATCTGATATGGAATATGTATTCTGTGTCTGACTTTATCTCAAGAAAACAATCATGCACAATCAAAAACACACACAAACACAACTCTATTATTATGTTATTATGTTACCCAGTATGGCCCAATTGGGATGAGCTCTCCTGTTTCTACTGGGATCCTGCAGTTCCGTGGAAGAGGGGCTCCCTCTGCCCAGAGCGGGCTCTCTGCCCTGAGATACCCTGCCCTGGGCGCCCCCCCTGCCTGGAGCCGAAGTGGCGAAGCTGCTCCAAGGTTCCCCACCCTCTGTAAGAGATGCGCTTCATTCAGGACCACCAACCAACAGCCATCAGGGGTCATCAGGGTTCACAAAGGTCACAGGGAGGTCAAGACTCCAAATGATAAAAGGGGATACTCACAGGTCAAAGGGGAAAGGTCAAACAAGAACCGGAAAGAGAGCATTCAGATCATTCAGCTGACGGGCAAAAGTCACATTTTGGATGCTTTCCAGGTAGGCAAAGGTAAAGGCAGAAGGGGCACACAGGAGCAAGATTTGAATGATTCCTGAGTTTAATAAAAGGAAGAATTGAAACACAAGTTAAGTATGCTAGAGAAGAGAATAATGAAAAAGGAATTGTTGCCTGTAACATCGCTGAGGGAGTATAGTTCTTATCTGCAGCAGACATAGTGAGAAGAAGCCCTGAGCTCTTTAATTTATTGTTAGTGTCAATCAAGGAAACACTTGTCACAACTCTCACACTCTCACAACTGGTCCACATCTTTATATCTAGGTTCTATACCTGCTGGATGAGACTGCGCAACCTCCGCAACTAACATTTTTTCACATCAGCGGTCACTTATGTTTTCTTTATTTTTCTTACAAACTCTAACATGAGAATCAAAGCTGCAAGTGCTTTAAGTACAAATAAAGAGCCCAACTGCAACCCAACTGCAACAAAAAGAATTTGGGTGGTGTTTATCTAGATTACCCATTGACAAACAGCACAATCGGTGCAGTGAAAGATCGCTGTTTAGCCCACTTATGTGTGAAGAGAGTGTACACACAACAGAATCGATTGAACAGTCACGCTAGCCTCACATGAAACAAGCCCAGAATAGAAGCATCTGAAGCTGCATGGCAAATTGGGGGCATGTAGTTATAGATTTTTAGTTAGGAAGATGGTTGTGGATGAAACAAATGCAAATTTATGTATCAATGCCCTCCTTTAACATCTCTGAGAGCAAAGGATGGCACAGAACAAGAGCTCAGCTAGATGCTGTGTGTGCGTTTGCGTGTTTTTGGGTGCCAGCGGGTGCATGCATTCTTGCATTGCGTGTGTATGGGTGCATGTACACTCTTGACTGTTGGTTGTGTGTGTCTGTGTGTCTGTTTAAAGCCATGTTTGCTTTACAGGGATGCTGCTGTTCTGTGATCAAAAGAAGCGGCACAAAGGGAGAAGGGAGAGAAAAGGGGTGAAGCTATTATTCTCCAAAGAGAGGCGTTTGTTCGTTAGAGACGCCGCTTTAATCAGACGCACTATGGCTGTTGACAATCATGATCACAGGGGACAGGGAGTGTAAATTCCAATCAACCAGTAGGGACCTTCAAAGTGTGTTAAGCAGGAAAAGATCATTTATACTGCTGCAAGCAGTGCAAAGGTATGTTATCCTATAAAAAAACTTACGGAGCAAGTATATAAAATAGCATCAAGATAAAAACATTTTGTAAGAGCAAAAGGCTCTTAGCCTTAGCTGCAAAGGCAGTGTTTTACAATATGACAGAAACAACCACAGGTGGTGACAAAAGCAATATACTATATTGGCTTAACAACTATGACAATGCATTGTTGGACAGTTTTTTAACAAAATGCATAAATTTACAATATGTACTGAATTAAAAGTATTGGCTTGTACAGTACAGTGTGATGTTACACTCCCTTCTTACAGATAAACAAAGAAGAAACAATAAATCTCACTGCTGACTATGATTACTATTACTACTATGCTAGTATTGTTCTCGTTGACGTCTCAACGGTCATGTAATATCGATGGTACAACACGAAGGCGGCAAAAAGAGGTCAGTAAAATTGACTGGGAATGAGGCATTTCAACAATTTCAAGCAGGGGAAGAGACATAACTTTACAAATCCACTTCTATAAAAGAAGGAAACAGTATAGCTCAGTGCAGTCCAGTTTACGTTGGTGGAGTATGAAATTCTATTAAGACACAGCGACACAAGTGAAAGCCCTGACGGCCGGAGCCGAGGAAAGTTAATCCTACAAGTTGACTGGGTGCAGCTGAGGGCTTAGAGCACCAGCTTAACAGAAGGCCGTGGCTTTGGCACACCTGCCAGTGGTCAGTCATGCCTCAGCCAGCCAAGCACAACACAATGTGATTATAAGACACTGTAATTAACTACTCTGTACTAAAACAATCTTCTCATCATTGTTGATTAAAATGTAGTTATTTGTAACATTTAAATGCATTTGAAAGAGATAAGTCTGTAAAGTGTACAAAACAGAATGAGGCATGATTTACATTTACGTAGGCACAGGCAAGCATGTAAGAATTAATTTGGTAATTTTCAGGTCAAAACCTTCCTAGGAGTAAACAAACTGAGGCATGATGTAAATCTACATAGGCCCCTAGGCCTCTTGAAATTTCTAATGGAGCGTTTTCACACTGCATTTTTTTTTATAACAACATACAAAGTTTTGGAAAAACTTATATCTAAATGAAATATTTCACTTAAGAATTTGACTGTTATTTCTTAAACATAAAGTTGTATACATTTGTGCAATCAATCCTTTGCCTGTGGGTCATGCCTGATTGCATGCGCACACATAATCGTGTATAAATCAGTGTAGGTGTCTGCAACTGTGTATGTGAGAAGTTAATTGTCTGTATTTGCATGCAGTATAAAGCAGCGAGGGGGGGTGGGGGACTTGGCACATGCTCCCTCGTGCTGATTTGAGCTGTCAACCGAATTTATTAACTATGATGAATCACCCCTCCACTTCACATCCAATCAAAGGCCTCTCAGAGGGACTCAAATCTGGTCACCTTTAACTAAATGATTTTCTTGGCCCATGGTGTGCCAGCCAGCGATTGAACTGGCAACCTGGTGATGTGGCTGCTGTTAGAATTATTCTGCCAATGGCCCACAGCTGGATCGGTCATTTTTGAAACAGTGCGGCGAAATAAGTGGCCAGCTGACATGTAGCTGCGTGGGGAGAGAGAATTTTAAAAGGCTTGGTTGGAATAAAGAAATATAAAAATAGAGTTCTACATGAGACATGGAATATAAAGGTGTTCTCTTGACCTTGCCTTTGGATTGAATCTGAAATACGTTCAGTCCCTCCTGCATAATATAGTACATTTTACAATGCAAGCTGACAGGTACCACTGAATCAGAATAATCTTTCTTCCACAAAATAGAGAAAATTTCCTTAAGCCTTGCCTTTCCTCCCCAACAACCAACAACTTCAATCCATCTATATTTAACTAAAAATACACTCATGCATCTCTTAGAATCTATGAATAGGTCACATTACTGTACACTTTATGCTAAAAATCTACTGTACAGAGAGGAGACAAGGTCAGTGAAAACACAAATCCCCAACAGACTGTGTCCTTCTCTCAGAACACAAGAGCGGAGCTCAGTGTGGAATTGTACACCACAAACCTTGCTGAAGGATAAAGCCTTTGATCCCGGTCTGTGCGGAAGAGTTTGGGCAGAAAAGAAGGAGGGAACAGGGGAAAAAGAGAGAAATCAATAGATTCTTGTAGACACAGCCTCAAGTTTCCAATCTAACACAGCGCTGTATTGATTAGGTTTCATATGAGACAAGGCACAGGGACAGTGATGTCGGCAGTGGATTTGGGAGTCTTTAACAAAACAAACTCCCATGCAGGGAACAGGATGAGGAGACCTATAGAGGCAGTTATTGTTTCTAATGCATTGCAAACAGATGACATCCTATAGATGTGGACTTGCATGATAGATAAATGGATGCAATGTAAGGATGCGTACTAGAAATATGTCATGACAGTGTACTACAGAGACTTTAAAGGGTTAAAGACAAGACCAAAAGTCTACAGCCACACTAGCATTACATTAACCTGCCTGCGCCAGATAGTTTGTTACACAGAACCATCTGGGAAGATGTTGTTGGTAACTATTTGGAAAAAGGCAGGCACTAATCTGGGATGTTAAACTATGCCTGTAGCTTGTGTCGTAGCTGCCAGTAAGACGCAAATTGGTCTGGACCACGTGATCTTGCAAGTCCACCTGCCTAGCAAGGTTAACATTACACACCAGTTGAACCCCATATAGCTCCCAGAATTAAATACATGTTACATGTTTATCCTTACAGTGGTGCCAGATCAGAATCACATTAGCTGTACTTTATCAGCCTCAGTATTGCTAAAATTTGTTGGCACATGTCACTTACATACACTGTTAGAAGCCACTAAATCCTACACACTGGCCCTTTAAATAGGCAATGCATGCAAAAATCACAACAAGAGGACCATACTTAGTAGTAGTAAGATGGTAGCTCACACTGGGCTGAAAGGAAGAACAACAAGTGAGGAATAAACATGCATGGCACCATGTACATGTGCTGCAGAGATTCCATGGACACTGCATCTCTGCCAGCTCCAGGTGTGAGGATTGAGAAAAAAACAGAATGTGGGTGCAGTTAAATTAAGCCGTAAACCGGTTTGACTATTCGCCAGCTTAAGAGTTGGAGGAGGAAAGTACCCTGGATAAAACTGTCTGGAAAGGCCTCCAATTTAAATTCAAAAATTAAAGTGATGAGTCAGACCAGACTGAGAGCTGCACATGGTCTGTGACTGACATGCAGAAAAAGAAAAGCATCTCTTTTGATGATGCAGATTAAATGAAATCTGCTTCAGGGAACTGAGTCATTTAGTTTACAAAGCTGAAGGAGTAGCTTTCTGGTAAATGATGCAAAAGAGTTTATAAGTACGTTGATGAGGTCAGAAGTGCACGGCTATGTATGACACCCAAACCAAACCAGGGAACTCGTGACTTCATCGAAGCAAATGGGAAAATTGTCTGCTGTGCTGTGAAGAGTTATTTTCTAATTGAGATTGTGTGTTCTTGTCCGAAAACGTCTCTAATAATTGTAGTCATCCACTGTGTTGTCCGCTGCATTTTACTCAGCTTTTCAACTTATGCTGTTTTCTGACTGTAAAGCCCAAAACATTTGTGTATGTTGGTTTAACCATCAGCTGTGCAGGGTGTCTCTGTATGTTTTTAACAATCTTAAGGTCTGGA